GGGGGGTGAAATCCAGCGCTATTGGGTGCTCAGAGCAAGAGAGGAGAAGAAATGGGGATCTGGAGAGCACTGCTGGGTCTGAGGGGGGGTTGGAAGTCATCGCTGGGAGCCCCTTGAGGAAAGGAAGGGGGGGCAAAACGGGACCAGAAGACGAGGGGGGGCTGGAAAGTGTCAGTCCTGGCTCCTTGGGGAAAGGGAGGGGGGGAAAAAGGGGTCGAGAGGGGAAGGAGAGCCTGGAAACTGCTAGTACCGGGTGCTCGGAGCAAAGGAGAAGTCTAAATGGGGGCCTCGAGAGCAGCATTGAGTGGGGGAGGGGGCTGGAGACCACCGCTGAGCCCAAAGGGGGGGCGGGGGACAACGTTGAGCCCAATGGGATCCTGGAGAGTGGCGCTGTCAGCCCGTCGGAGCAAAGCAGAGCCGGGATGGGCGGCCTGGCACCCAAACGAGGCAGCCCGGAGGACTGCGCCGTGATCTCTTTGGGTGAAGATGAAGAAGAAGAAGAGGAGGAGGAGGAGGAGGAAGAGCTGGAGGAAGGCCCGGGCCGTTACCTGGCGGCGCTGGAAGCCGTGCAGCTGGAGCTGGAGGCGGTGGAGGAGGAAGCAGCTCGAGCCTTCCGCCGCCTGCGGGCCAAATTCGGGCTGCGGCGACGGCCACACCTGCAGCGCCGCAACCGCCTCATCCAGCACATCCCTGGCTTCTGGGTCACGGCCGTATCCTTGGGGGGGGGAGGGAGGGAAGCCTCTTTAATTGCTTTTTAATTTGCAGGGGGGAGGGGCTGTTCGTTTTCCTTAATTTTTTTTTTGCTAGTTCTTGAACCACCCCCAGCTCTCGGCCATGATCAGCGATCGTGATGAGGATGCTTTGAGCTACATGACCAGCCTGCAGGTATTTCCTTTTATTTTGGGGGGGGGAGGGGAGGTGTTAAGGGGTTGTGCCCCCCCAATATGGTTGGGGTAACTCTCTGCTTCCTCCTGCAGGTGGAGGAATTTGGAGTGGCACAGCCTGGCTGCAGGATCCGCTTCTTCTTTGCTATCAATCCCTATTTCCAGAACCGGGTCGTGGCCAAGGAGTTCGTGCGTGGCCCCTCTGGTGGGGGTCCTCAGCTGGGGTGGGGGGGTCCTCAGCTGGGGTTGGGGGTCCTGGAGGGATGTATGGGGGTAGGGAGGAGTGATGTATGGAGCTGGTGGTTCATGGGGGTATGTGTGAGGCTGGGGTCCTGGGGAGATGTGTGGGGCTGGGGGATGGGGGGG